TCAAACATGGCCCATTCACATTTTGCAGTTATTAAACTACTTGAAGATAATTTATCCCTCATTTAGCTATAGTTAAATATTTTTTCTAGCATAAAAAAAATGTAGCATAAGAAGAATAGAACAGGAAAGCATTTAAAGTCAGAATGGAAATGTGTTATCAGGCTTGAAGGACAAACCTATTAATGTATTTAGCTCTTGATCTGCCAACATATATCCTTTTCAAGAGATATGGAAAATCTGTAGACCTGAGCTAGTCCTGACTTAATATAACACTAAATATGGTTACACAGTACTTTCCCCATTTATTATGGGCATATAATACCATGAGGTCCATCACAAGTCTTGAAAAAAAATTTTTCAACAGCTCTCTATTGTCACAGTGAGTCTGCAGCCATCAAAAGAAAGAAGAGTGGGAGGCACTGTTAGCCTCTCATTCAGCCAAGTCCACATTAGTTGGCACCACAGATGTGGCATCTCTAGATTCCTCTGTTACTATAATATATCTAAGAATTATTCAGCTAGCTTTTCCTATTTTGAAGAAGTATAAAACACATCTCTTGCAGCTTTAAAAAGAAGAAAGGATCCACAGGTCGATCAAATATTGACCAAAAATACTGATTTACACGCACACAAATAAAATCATTTTCTCTCTTTGGATTTCACATGCAATGATTGATTCAGTCAGCATGTCTGTAAGCAAATCTCTACAAATAGCATTTAAGTATGCAAATGTTGGCTCAACTATATTCCGTAACCCACAAAACTGCTGAACATCAAAGTTGTTCCTGTGAGTGATTTGGTATCCCGTATATAAAACTGTAGATTGTAACACGAGGCAGTACTTGTGTTTGTCAAAAGACCCAATCCAATCTTAGTGCTCAGGGGTTTATAACTAAACATCGGGGGTTTTTTGCTGGTTAGGGACACATTTTGCACTGTGTCACCTGGTTTCTTCTTTGAACCTTCAGTAAAATGAACCAGGGAAATATAAGAACTGCTGGAAGCTCTGCAGTACTGAGCTGTGCTTAGAGTAAGAAAGTTGCCACACATTTAAGTACACAAGGTCCTTCTTTGATGAAATGCAATGTGGCATTGTTCAAATACCTCTTCCTGCTAAAAAACAGCACCATTGCTCCTTACCACTTCTCTTCCTTTCTCCGTATAGATGATTATCTATGCTGCTACTCCAATTGTGCCATTCCTTTTTACTCATTTTCAGTTAAGCTTGTGAGCTCACAAATCAGTGTTCAACAGTAGGTTCTAGACATGTTTGTTTGTTTCTTGAACGTATGTATAAATTATTTTAGGCAAGCACCTATATGGATAGATGCAGTTACATGCAAATTCACGTGAAACCTATGCTCCAAACCTTGAGCCTATGCTCAGTCAAATTCCAGCTAACATTGACTCAGAAGCTGTCTCAGTGGAGCACTGCCCTAAAGTTAACAAGTCCTTGCACTAATCATGTTTAGTCTTTCTCTGTTTTAAAGAACAGTTTTTTCTAGATTTACTTCATAGAGGACACACTGTAATGGTACAAGACTGGGAAATAGAAGACTTAATTTTATCCCTGTTTTGCTACTGACTATGGACAAACTAAGCTACTTATTCCCACCACATCATTTGTCTGCTTTACTCATTTACACTGTAAGCTCTGCAGGGCAGGGAATCTCTCTTGCAAACTGTTTGCGAAGAGCTTCCTCCACAAAGGGATTTTGAGTTCTTCAAGAAATGGGAAGTCTGTACTAATGTAACACTGCTGCTATCACCTGTAGTAAATTTCAAATTGTTTGCACTGAGTAAAACTGTGTAATAATATATATTACCTACTTGGCTTTCAGAAGCTTTGCTAACTAATTTTGCCATTCTTGGAGGCAATGACAATTTTGTAAGCAGTCACCCCCTGTTAGGACACTTCAATGTTCCTGATAGGCAGATACCTCCTGTTTATTCTGTTGGTGACTCTGTTATGGTTCTGTTCTACTTTCACTATTATTGCCCCAAGAAGATCTTACCACTATTCTCCCATACTAATGACAGCCTTCTGAAAGGATTTCTATTTTTTGGTCTATATTAATGAATTACTTCCACTAATTCCAAAGTGAACTGTAATCAGTAGGGAGCTCTTCATCATTGAAATGTTTAGCACCCTTAAAATTACACCATTTGCTACACTTTTAGGAAGCAGCTTATTGCTCTAATTCCTTCTTATGAGATTCAAATTTGCAGGTTCCATTCTTCATCCAGTCACTACCAATATTTCCTTAACATGGCTCTAATTTTATGATGTGTGCCTTAGTCATTAGCTCAGATACTGTGCACAGTTGAATCGGTGTCTAATCTTCCTCTCTTTTTTCAAGGACAAAATACTTATCTGCAGTACCAAATTAAATGTCTTCCCACATATTTCACTTCTATCCTTCCTACAATATTTTATTGTTGTTCTTGATATCAAATTACTTTTTTTAAGATCTCAGTTTGGCACTTTTTTCCTTATAATAATTTCTCTTTAATTTCTGTCCATTCCAAAGTTTAATTTCTTTTTCACAAGTTTCAGCTACCAGGAAAACAAACACAGCTTTCACATTCTTAGTTATGTTTTGTATCAGCTATCTGAGATACTGAAGTAGCTGTCAAGCCAAATCTAGTTGTTGTGTGAGCTGTGAAACCAGTAAAGTTTGCTATCCTGGAGTATTTCCTATATCCCTGCCCCATACTTATGCAATTATTGCAGCTTTTCCCAGGTCCTCTATAATCTCATTATCTGTAATACCACCAGTTCTCCTTCCTGACCTCTAGTCTTCCACAGTATTTTGGGTAAAAAAAGTTCAAAAGTAATTTAAGAAAAACAGAAGTACAAAATAGTCCTAATAGAAAGTCTATGTTATCATATAACAAAATAAAGCATCAGCTGAGTACAAACTAATATTATATTTTTCTTGTTCTGATGCAAATCCATAGGTCTAGAAAACAAGTTAATTTGCTCATATGTGATATTAACTCTGAAATTATAGATGCGACATAAATGCCAGCAGTTAGTATTTCACTAGTACCCAAGCTTTATTAGCATTCAGCTTCTTATGCAAAAAAAACAAATAGCCTACCATAGGAACCCAAACACCTCAAATATTCAGCTCATCTGTTTGTGCTGACAAATTTCAAAAATAAATTTACATACACTAATATACGACAGAAAAAAATGCAAACATGGAAGCAAAGTAGAATACACCTAATCAAATATCAAGAATAAGAATGTAGTTGATACACTGCCAATGATATTAACCATTGCAATATTTAAGAAACCTAAACACAGAAGTATGGATTATACCACCTGAAACAGCTTTTGAACTTCCTATCTGCTTTAGAAGGCAAGAGTCAAAGCAATAATGTCTACATCCAGTTTACTAAATAACAGAAAGTCTTGACTACACATGGTAATTCTGACATTCCAATGAAATTAAGCAATCAGCAGCTCTGTATATCTGGAACACAATTTTTAATTTACCCTGGCTACAGACCGTATGTTGTAGCCCACAACAAACATGGTTGCAAGTGTCAAAGTGGGTTGAAAATCTGTTTTTCATGCTGATATAAAATGGTAGTAATACCAACATCTACAGCTTCCCAGGAAAAGCCAAGTGATTCAGAAGCTTCTGACAGAACAACACAGACACTCAAATCTAGCAACTGGCAACTGACAACTTCTACAATTCACATGATTTTTTTATTTTATTCTTACGCTGTCGTATATGTGTTTTCACATATAAGTGAAGCACACTCATGTATATGCCATGAATGCATGCATCAACACTTTCACAGCTGATGCACTGGAGACTGACAATTCACATTTCTATACCTTTGTGTGCTCAAACTCCCTTCACAAAACAATAAATATCCTACCTAAGGAGAAACAGTGATTGGTCATCAATACACCAGTGATTTTCTGTACCCAGGCTTAGCAGCCATTCTAAGTACAGTAATACATCTGAAGTATGAGTGCCAATTAATCTGAATAGTTCTGCCAGTGAGGGATCTCTTATACAATCACCTGCACTACTACAGATTGCATCTGCAGCTCTTTGATACCACTGCAGGAGGACAGCAATTTCATTAAATCAGTATTTGCACTCAGTTGAAAGGTCAGTAGGTTTCCCCAAGTTCCCCAATTGTCTTAAATGTGTGATCTTATGCTAAACCCTGCCTATGAGAGTGAACTGCCAAATGCACATACAGGATAAAAAAAAAAAATTTATAAAGTAAGTGCGGCTGCACTGGTGGAGATAGCAAAGAGCAAGATGAACCTGTCTTTCACTGCTTACTACTGCTCACCACAGATGAACAGCCCTTTGCATTTACTGAAGAGAACAGTTCCCTAACTTTCAGAAGCTGAATTTAAGACACCTACTTACAGCTGCTCTTCTGTGCTCTCTGCTCCTCTTTCAGCTTTACTCGTTTATGAGTTCAGTGGTTTGGAATACACTTCTGTGGGCTTTCTGATCTGGAACCACCCCTCCAGCAGCACACACCTGTGCAGACACAGCAGCACATGGAGCAGCAGCAGCCCTGTAGCTATCCTCCAGGGGTCACAATTGGGTTACAAATTCTATCAAATGTGATGACTGTGCAGCTTGATTTAGAGCAATTTATTCACATCCTTCTTCATTAAGATTCAAATGGAATAAGTAAGATAGAAATTGAACAGACACAGAAATTGTGCATGGTTTGCTTCTGTAGTCAGTAAACATTTATTCACTAGGCACAGCTCTCTCTCGTGCTCTCTCTCTCATATTCTCTCTCTTTCCCTACCCTTCCTGCTTGCTGTTTTAATGCATAATTAAGAAGGTCAGAATTAATGAAGCAGTGTGGAGTAAAGTTCAAGGAATCCCCAGGCACTATTTATTCTATTAGATCTCAGGCATGAACATCAGATTGGCAGCATTAGAGGCAGAGGCAGTGTAGCTGGCAGCAGTCCAGGAGAGAAGCTACCAAGGGATTCTTACCTGCAGTGTCAAGTCATTGCTGAGCTCCCTCCCTGCAAAAATCACCCGCAGCTGGTCGGCTGGAACTCCCTGTCGCTGGGCAACTGCCTCCTTCAGCTGGAGGATGCTGGCATCCGAACCAACCTCCACCGGGAAGCCATGGTTGGAGTTGAACCTGACAAACACTGAACAAGAGCAAAAGAGCTTTTTAAGTGAGAATTTCTCATGATGTGTTTGTACTAGAGTGACTACAAGAGGCTTACTTTTCAATTTCAGGAAGCATGTACTATTTTCAGAGAAAAGCTATTAATACTCCCTCGTAGCATTTTTAAACTCATCACAGAATAGTTAGTGATCACTAAATAAAAAACATTAGTTTCCCCTTGGCAGTATTAGCAATTACAGAGAACATTTAGAATCAGAAGAAATCCCACTAGGCAGCTGCCTAAGTAGCTGCTAACTGGCACAAAAGATTTTCAGTTCAGTCCTAACCTTTGTAGCACACGTGCTTCCTGTGCCACTCGTGCTCCTCCCCAAAGCATATATCAAATAAATGCAGGAAACTGAGGTATGCTCTAGAGCCAAAATATATTAAATTATACAAGGGAAAACAATTCCTTGTTACAAGGCAAAGCACAGTCATATAAACTGGTTTCCCACTGATATAATTCTACAAAAGTAATGACGGAGAGAAAATCACATGGCAGAAGACATCAGAATCACAGAATTCTGTGTTTGGGAGTGTTGTATTACAGCACGGTCTTTTCAGAGTTCACTAAAATATCTGCAGTACATAATTCCTGTCAGCATCCACCTTCAGTGCAGAAAATCACTACTGCACCAGTCATATCATTTTTAGAGCTGCAGCAACTGGTTTATACATCCAGAGAAGCCCAGCAAACAAACTCATAAGCTTCCTGCCATTCAGCTGGCAGAACTGTTTTTCATAAGGAGTCTGAATGTGCTCACTGAGCCCATGGTCAGGGGAATGACTACAAGAACTGTGAAACAGGAAAAAGCCTCATTACATCCATATCAGTCATGGACATTGTACGAACAGTAGACACGTCCCCAGTGAAACGCTTCGACCCACACCTTCACAGGCAGGAAGCAAAGGAATTAGCAAAACACGATACAAAACAAAAAAACCATTTATATCAATTAGATAGTGGGCACCTGTCACCTAAACTGCTTGGGTATTGATTGCAACAACCAGTCTTTTTAAAGATTTATTTCTGCAGTGTTTTAGCTGAAGATGTTAATCCTTTGCATTTTTGTTGACTGACAGAAGCATAAGCTCAAAAGTATTTATTCAGTTTAAAGAAATAACTATTTTTAAAACTGAAAATTGGAATTCTATGATTTTTCAAACATATAGTCTGCCTGACAACTCCAAAGGTGTCAGATACTTTAAGAACATTTGACTATGGCTGAGAATGCTGCCACTGTTTTGCTCAGCAGCCAGGTATTTGCAATTTCATGTTTTCAGTTCCGATCTGGCTAATCTTTAAGGGATAAGGCCAGATACTAATACAATTTAACACATCATTTTAAGTTTTGCACTTGAAAGCATCCCCTTAATGTACTAAAATACAAGGTAAGATTGCACAGTGCAGTGTCAGGCAGGTGCCCTGCACTGTGTTATGCAGCCTCCTGTAGTACATCTTGGTTTAATTTCTACTTAAAGGTGTTATGGAAATAATTGAAGTGTGCAAGCTGTATATTCAGACTGCTCAGAAAAATCAGCGAAATTTGAATTTTGATTATTGTTTGGAGAGCAAAAGAGGATGTATATGGCAAAAAATAGTTACAGCTAATGGGAACTGAACAGTTCCCATCTTTCCAGGAACACTCATAAAGCTCTCTAAAGGGAGGATTTGAAAAGGTTTCGAATTTAAAGTTTCGTCTGCTAGAATTTAAATAAATATTTAAATAAATATTGGCTTAACAAGAGATCAGAGAATCTACCTGAGGCCTAAACTGCTGATGGAAATCCAAAATAAATAAACGGAGTTACTCGGATACAAGTACATGGGGCAGGTGTGTAGAGGAGCTGCAGAACTGCAAGTGAAGGCTGGAAGAAAGCTCGGGGGATGTCACCCCTGTCAGGATCTCAACAGGTCACATTTCAGAGCCCTGGATTCAGCAGCCTTTCTTCTTTGGCAAGCCATATGAAAAGTGCCAAAGATTTAATCCCCATTGTTATCCAACAGGTTTTCCGGTTCTGAACGGAGAAGATAAACATAAAATGCTGGAGAAGCTTAGGCCTTGCTTGTGAACAAACTGTGAAGGCACAGTCCTGATATACAGAATCAAAGCAAGTGAACTGTGCCAAGAATGAAAACAAGCTGTAGATGTCTTTACATTGCTACATGCAAAACACAAATTTCCTTTCTAGTTTTGACATAAAATAGCCAACTCGTTTTCTTCCTAAACTAATGAATCACACAAAAAAAGCCCTATAACATACAACATATAATCTGTGGTAAAAGAATGTACATATTTAAACTTTAAGATCTTATTGCCTAAGATCTAATTCTCCATTCTTCCTATAGACAAAACAAAGAATGTTACCAAAGTTTAACCCAAAGACAGTGTGAAATATATGAAACTTCTTCTATTTTTAAAAGCCCCTTCCCTACTGAGGTGAGATAAAAAGACCTTTGAAATGTATTTTCCTAAGAATGGGGAAAAAAAAAGTCTTGTGACAGTGTCTGTGGTGATCAGATCCTTTGACTCAGCACAGGACTTGAGAATACAACTCTTCTCGGGTCAAAAACCTACATCTAGACTATTTCACACTTGAAAGTATCATCCTTTCCTTTTCAGTATTAAATTTGTCTCATAAACGTGATTAATAATTTATCCAGTACAGCTGACCAATTTAGTACCAATTAAAAACAGGAAAACGCATAGAAAGGAGAAGGTAGAAATCCAGAGAACATAAAATTCTTGCCCCTCTGGTAAAGTATTGTGGAACTGTTCTGGAAGTCCTTCTGTTACCACACAACTGTGCATCACCTCTCAAGGCACAGGCTGAAGGCAGCTGTTCCAAGTACTTTTTTTATTTCAATAAATAAAATAAAACCATATAAAACATATTTTTTCGATCCCTGGGGCTCTTCCATCTTCATTCATACAAGATATTGTTCTAGTATTTTAATCTTCAGATTTAATTAGCTTCAGATGCATTTGTAGACACTTTATAAACTACCAGTGAATATCAGTTGCTGCCCGAATTTCTACAACCAAAATTGTAGACATGCAACTGTAGGACATATGCAGTGTGAGAAACTAGCAGCAGAACACAAGATAATGGGATGGCACTACATCTTGTTCCACAACTTTTTATTGTTATTTTCTTCTTTTCAGTGTGCCAAGGGAACTGAAAAATGGGAAAGAAGTAAAGCAAAAGACTAAAGAGGAACAAAAACCAGAAAAAGATGAGTTGGGGAGACTCTGAGAGATGAGGTCAGGAGTGGAAAGGAATAGCTCAGAATTGTATTAACTTGTAATTGGTTTGTATTACACAGTCAGTCAGCACATGTTAATGAAAGTCAATCAAAGGGTTAAACAACTTTTGCGAAGTTCTTCGAACTTTGTCTTTCCACAGCAACTTAAGCAGCCTGGAACTGGTACAGTCCTTTTCTTCACAGACCTGTGTATCTAAGTTTTGCACTGGAATAGGAGACCTTCCCAACACCTTTTGCTCCCCAGAGCACTGGAGAGCAGGTTGGTTCAGTCAGTTCCACTTTAGTTTCTACCCTACTTCCACTACATCAAGTCCCACTTTGGAGGCTGTCACTGTCACAAAGTTCTGGCCAACTGGCTTGCCTAATTTTTTCCTGACATAAATACGTGATAAAATCTCATCATCAATAGACTAACCAGTCCCATAGCAATTCATGTATCCTTTTCATCAATTAGCAAAAATATCCTCAGCTCCCTCCAAGAAAACTCTTTAACAGATGTCATTTCTTCAAAAAGTTGCCAAATTCCAACAAATTGGAGCCAAGTTGAGATAGCAGGATCCTGAGTCTTGATGCCCTTGCACTGAACATCCTGCCAACAACTCCCTTCTTCTTTAAAGAGGGAAATCCAATTACAGAACCTCTGCTGCCTACAGAAGGAGTGAGATAGTGTCTCAGAGACAAATGATTTCACACATTTCAGCCTGTATGGCTGAAAATCAACAGCTTGAACACTACCTCAAGATGAGTGGGTTGTCATTGCAGATATCGATGCGCTGGTATGACATTTTCCGGGCAAAATGCCCTGCTGTATATTTTGCACCAAATCCCGACTGACAGGTATATGCAATGAAGTTAACCATGACTTAATGAGTTACCACTCACTGCTGAGCCATAATAACTGGAAGCATTAGACCTCCTTGATCATTGCATTTGTGAAATAAAATTAATGCACATTAATGTAAGCCAACTTCACAGCCGCAGCAGAAAAAGAGCCTACACAGGCAATAAGTGGCAACTCATTAAGCCAGAGTAATTTGGTTGCTTCTGATCATTTGTAAATTACTTTCACCTAACGAATGATTTTATGATGTAGTCACACATAAAGAGCAATGTAGTAACCTAACATAAACAATGTCTATAAAACCCCATCCTTGGTGAGGTTATTTCTCTCCTTTAGCAAGGAATAAACTCTCTCCGGGAAAAATCTTTAGTGATAGCTAATACCAAATGAATATCATAAAAAAATGTTCCTTGATCATTAACTCAAATTTCAAGATTGAGATTTCTGATGGTTTTATTTACTTTTTAAATAAAAGTCAAGATTGGCTTTTATTCAAACTATTGTTCAGGGAAATTGAGACAGAATTCTCCATAAATGCTACATATGTACCCAATGATTTTTTCCTATGAAGTCATGAGCAGCGTGGAAAGGGTGAGTAGGGATAGGGCACTCACTTCCACCACAAGATTTAGGGGGTGTCATATCAAATTTATCTGTGCTGCGTTCAAAAGTGGCAAAAATGCTCTGTTTGCCCACAACACTAGCAGCGGACCTTCTGGAAAACTCTGCCAGAGAAGTGGTAGATGCACAATGTATAAATTTGGTTCAAGGGGAAAAAAGAAACAGGCAGTTTCAGGCAGCTCAGTAATCTCTCTACTGGAAAAAAAAGAATAATATACACTAGTATGAAATAAATACTTTATGTGTAGGTTTTGAGCTTAGAAAAGCAACATCTTTCAGTCATATGCTGAGCCAAAGAGGAACTTATGACTGCAAAGAAGGTAAAAAATAACAGATACCATCACATGTTTTGTTTTTTTTTTACTTATTCTTAAGAAAATACATTTTAAAGCTCCTGTCATTTGAGTTAAAGATAGCTGGTAGAACACCAGGGAGCAATATCATCTACGCTTGCCCTACTGTCTTTCTTCAGAAGGGTCTCTCTGCTTATGGTCACTGCTGCAGACAATAATACTTGGGGTTTAACAGTCCCTTCTTCTGAATGACTACGGTGCTCTTCTGCAGATGTCCTGGGTTTATATGTCCATACATGTACTCCAACAGAATGTAAGACTGAGTAAAATCTAACCGAGTAAAATGCTACCAACTAAACCAAGAATAGAGGCAAATAAAAAAGACAAGAGTTCAGCACTAGTCTCTTCTTTGCCTCCAGAGCTGTGCATGCACATGCAGTTGCTTTCTTGAATTGCAGTGAGACAATTTTTAAACTCAGCAATTCTCACAGTAACCTAATTTTGTTCTAGGAAGTATGCCTCTTAATCCAAGACACATGCTAAATTTGTCCAGTAAATTATTTCCTGTGATTAATTCACTCACTTTTACTATTCTCTTTAAAGTTGGAGGAATGCATTGCTAGCTAACCCAACACTACAATTATGTTGGCATTTCTTTTATAAGTCTCTTAAAAAATGCTATTTTCCTAGCTATTTTTGCCCTGATTTACAGGCTGCTTAAGTCAGCACAAAGCTGCCATGAACTTCCTTGATACAAAATCAACCTAAATTCATTTTTCATTTTAAATAGATGCATACTGTTCTTTAATGTGCTTGGACAT